AGCCTCCCAAGTAGCTGGGACTACAGGCATGCACCACCATGCCCGGCTAATTTTTTTAATATATTTTTAGTTGGCCAATTAATTTCTTTGTATTTTTAGTAGAGACGGGGTCTCACTCTTGCTCAGGCTGGTTTTGAATTCCTGACCTTGAACAATCCACCCACCTGGGCCTCCCAGAGTGCTAGGATTACAGGCATGAGCTACCATGCCTGGCCGATTTACTTTTATTGAGTTATGTATATTGTTTTAAAAAACATATCATTGACAATTCCACTTCTGGGTATATACACAAAAGAATTGAAAGCAGAGGCTTAAAGAAATATATGAACCAATGTTCACAGCAGCATTATTCACAACATCCAAAATGGAGAAACAATCCAAATGTCCCTAAACGAATGACTAAATAAACAAAATATAGTATATACATATACATAATATTACTTGATCTTAAAAAGGAAATTTTGACACTTACTCTACTATGGATGAAACTTGAAGACACTATGCTAAATGAAATAAGCCAAATACAAAAGGACAAATATTGTATGCTTCCACTTATATGAAGTACCTAGAGTAATCAAATTCAGAGACAGAAAGCAGAATGGTGGTTGCCAGGTGCTGAGGGTAGGGGAAAATGGGGAGTTAGTGTTTAGTAGGTAGAAAGTTTCAATTGGGGAAAAGGAAGGTTCTGGAGATGGACAGTGGTGATGGATGCACAACAATGTGAATGTACTTAATGCCACCAACCTACCTGTACACTTAAAAATGGCTAAAATGATAAATTTTATGTTACGGACATTTTACCACAAAAAATTATGAAAAAAGTGCTAAAATACTGGTTATCCAAACAGAAGAAAAATTGTATCACTTCATTATACCATGCATAGAAATAAATTCCACATAAAAAGCAAAAGTTTTAGAAGAAAATACAGAAATATACAATTCATACCCCAAAGCAGAGAAAATTTTCTTAAACCAGATGTACACACCACAAAAGACAAGTCATGTAAGGGAAATTTTTCATAAATATGACATTAAAACTTAAAATTTATATACAACCAAAGACATTGGTAACAGAGAAAGAAAAAGCCTCAGACTTGCAGGATGCATGTGCAACACATATATCTATCAAAGTACTACTATACAAAGTAACTCACTCAACTGTTCCTCAGTGAGTGAAAAGATACACAAATGGTGATTTAAGTCTACAACTGAATACCTCAGCAGTTAAAAATAAATGGACCAGATCCACAAGTAGCAACATGGTTAAAGCTCCATCAATTATAACTTAAAATATACCTCTTTGACCCCGCAATTCTATTTTTCATTCACTGTAGCAATGGTCATTAATGAGGAGAGGATTAAATTACTATATAGTCCAATACATACTACATAAGAGGTTGTACAGTAACTAAGAAGACTCAGGTCGATTCTTATATTCCAAAATGGAAAAATCTCAAAAACATTTGTTAGGGAAAAAAGTTGCAGAACAATATGTACAGTATGAAGCCATTAATGTGGGGGCGGGTCTGCTTTTTTCCTGTATTACCTGTATAAATATGACAATGCATAGAGAAAGGCCTGGAAGGATCACAGCAAACTGATAACCAGTTTAGTGGGGAAGGGAGTCTGTCAAGGTAGCTTTTATTCTGTCTGTCCTGCCTGAGTATTTTATAAGCGAGTGTGCATTCTGAGCCAGTTGCAGGGTTGCAGCACACAGCCACTCCAGGAGCTGCCACACACAGGGACTTCAACATGAATGGCACCTCCCCTAAAGCTGGGCAGTATACAGCTTGCACAATTGGAGCCACAGCTCTGATGCTTGTGTAGTTAGAAATAAATAAAAGAAGGGGAAAATAGGAGATTAACTGCAAATCAGCATAAGGGAACTTTCTAGAGTGATGGAAAGTTCCGTATCTTGACTGGAACAGTGGTTAGTTCCAAAGTGTACAGTAGTTTTGCTTTCATGGTTTTGGTTACCCAGAGCCAACCATGGTCCCAAAATATTAAATGCAAAATTCCAGAAATAAACAATTCTTAAGTTTTAAATTATGCACCCACTATTCTGGGTAGTGTGATGGAATCTTACGTAGTCCCACTCCATCCTCCCTGGCATGTGAATCATCCCTTTGTCCATCGCATCCACACTGTATAAGCTACTCAGTAGCCATCTAGATTATCAGATCTACTGTGGTATCACAGTGTCTGTCTTCAAGTAACCCTTGTTTTACTTATTAATAAACCCGAAGTGCAAGAGTATGTGATGCTGGCAATTGGGGTACGCCAAAGAGAGGCCAAATATACACCAAAGAGAAGTTAATCTGTTATTGTGCCTAATACATAAATTAACTTTATCATAGGCATAAATGTATAGGAAAAACCTAGTGTGTATATATATATGGTTTCTTTATTGGCAGCAGTTTCAGGCATCCACTGGGGTTCTTGAAACATATCCCTAAGGATGAGGGGGAGACTACTGTATAAATTTTTCAAAATGCATCCAACTGTACATAGGAAATCTGTGAGCTTTATCATACGTAAAATACACATCAATAAAGCTGATTTTTAAATAAATATAAATATGTAACTATCATTGAGAGAGCCTGAAACAAGGTGCCCAAAATTGCAGAACCTAGGTTCCCCAAAACAAGAACTAGCAGACACCTGCTGTTTGCATCCTCCAGTCATAAAACAAAAAAGAAATTAATTTACTTTTTCAAGGCTTTCTATACAATGCCAAATTTAGATGACTATTATCTTTATTTTTTGTATGAGGAAACTAAGGCCCTGAGAGATTAATATTAAAGACATAAATGGTAAGTTGAAATTCTATAGGTTCTAAGTCTAATTTTCTAACTATAAGTAGAAATTTTGTCTCTCATGCATAGTGGACACCCAAAAACTCTGCCAGCATTATCTTGACTGCACAACCCCCTTCAAAGGCAATTCCACTTATTATGATAAAAACCCTCAGAGAACTCATAAAAGGTCAAGTTTTAATTTGGCAGGCAAAGTAACCCAACAGGCATTGCAACCCAGGGAAATGAAACAGCAGCCTGGAGCTCAAGAGTTCAGAAACCCAACCAAAGCAGAGGACAGGCAGAAATCCAGCCCTTACAGAAGAGCAGAGACACAAACAATCTCTTACCACAGATCTAAGATCCAAGCAAAAGGACAAAAATGAAAAAGTGTTATCTAGACAAAAGTACTCTCCTTCCTCCTCAAATGATAGAAAAAGCCAATGAGAGAAGGAACAGAAATGGATGATCTCAAGCAACAGTCCAAGCAGCGAGCTCCTGACAGCCAACAGGCAAGAAACATGTCAAAGTGGTAGCAAGAAATCGGGATTTCACCACCTCAGCCACTGCATTAACATGCCCACACCTAAGAACCTGGGTTACCTCACATAGCAAAAAAAGAAAGGAGAACTTGAGGAATGGGGGAAGTCCATCAACCCATCCCTAACGCTAGAGCAATTGATACCGCTCCGTGTTAAATGTAGCAAAACCTTGCTTCGTTCATTCATTCATGCAATAGACATTTATGGGTCTACTGTTGTGAGCCAGGCAACATTCTGAGGATTTAACAGTGACTAGTCATGGAGCTTAATTCTAATCGGGAAGGAAGGAAACTTCCTTTCTTTTTCCAAATGTCTTCCCCCCCCCCCTTTAAATGTTACACACAAGAGCCTCCAAAACTCTCCCAAATTCTCCGACAAGCTTCTTTAACCTTCCCCTACTTTATCCCCGAAACCAAGCAATTTATGGTTCTAATTTCCTAATACTGGCAAAACACAAAAGGGACCTAAAGTGAATAGGGCACAGGACAGAAAATTCAACGCTTGTTTGTATTCTATACGCATACCTGGACAGCCAAATTGTCAGCACCTCAATAGCAGATTATGTTTGCGTTTCATACTATTTCGTGGCCCCAGTGCTGACTACGGTTCTCTGCCCATGGGAGCTAATCAATACACGTTTCCTAAGAATGTTGGAAAATCTTCCTAATCCCAAGGCCTGGCACAGGAATTTAAGAGCAAGCATTCGTTAGCTGCATCCTCCCTCCTCTCAGGACACTTTCCTGTCACGGGTGACCTCGGCGGACACGTTTGTTATTAGGCGTCTCAGAAAACAGTGTTTTCGGGTGATCTGAAATAAATTCCCTTCCCTCTGCCAGGGCCTGCCTGCCTCACCTGCCCTCTGCCAGGACCTGCCTCGTTCGCCCCTTCAGCACCTAACGCAGCGCCTCCTCCCAGCGAGCGGGCAGCATCAGGCCGGCGCCCGCAACCCGGCTCCGCGCCTCGACCCAGGGCGCGCTCGGGACCCCGGCGACCCACTCTCCCTCAGCCGGGGCTCGCGGCATCCCCTCAGCTCCCCGACCAGGGCCGAGCGCGGCGCCGTTCCTCGCCTCAGCCTGGGGTGGTGAAGCGGCCGCGGCCCCCTGCGCGCCGGCCCCGCCTCCCCCGGCCCCGCACCCCGCAGGCTCCCGCGGTCCCGGCGCAGCACGGGCAACCTCCCCGCTCCTCGAGGACGCGAGGCTGCAGCCCCGTCCCCTCTCCCGCAGCCCCCCGCGGCCGCCGCGGATCCCCACCTTGCTCACTTCCCGCCGGAGCTGGGGGCGTCGGGAAGGTCTCCGGCGGCCGCAGCCTCCTCCACCCGCTCCGGCCCGGCCCCCTCGCTGAGGCGGCGGTGGCGCCTGCTCAGGCCCGGAGCCGCCTCCGCGGCGAACGTTCCCGGCTCCTGGCTCGCGCCGCTTCCCCGCCCGGCACGCGCAGCGAACCCGCCCCCGGCGCGAGGGCGCGAGGGCGGAGGGCGGAGGCGCGGGCGCGCGCCGCCAGCGAGGGCGCGCGGCCGGGGGCGGGGCTTCCGCCGCGCCGAGGAGGGGGCGGGGACGCGGGCCGAGTGCCCCTGAGCCCCATCGTGCGGCCGCGCGGGACCCGTCCCCGCCACCCCCCAGGCCCGCGGGGTTCTGGGCGGGAAACTCGCCCCCTCAGGGCTTCTCACCGCGGCCGGCGGCGGGGCGCGTCTCAACTCCACAGGTATCTGCCGGCCAGCCGGATGCTCCTCGACGTGACTACGAGGTAAAGAACGCGAAGAACCACCCCTGTGAATCATTCGTCCGCGCCTCGAGCCTAGGATCCTGACCTGAGTGACTTTCCAGATGAACTCAACTCCACAAGCTCACTGAACAGTGGCGTGTGCCTAGGGCCGTGGCAGGAGTCGTGTGAGTGCAGGTCCCGGTCACGGCCCTGGGCTCGAGGAGCGCGTAGCTCGGCCGGGAGAATGCCGGGTAAACACCCAGGGCCGGTGACCCGCGCGGAGCCCACCCACCGTAAGATGCTGTGCGAGGGCACGGGAGCAGGAGATTACTTCCGCTGGGAAGACGCGGAGGGGTTCCTGGAAGAGGTGGCATTTGTGTACAGCCTTCAAGGAAGAAAAAGAAGTCCCGAGAGAAAAAGGGAGAGCAGAAGCCTGGGAAACAGCTTAGGCTAAGGTACAGGGGGTGGCCAGGCTTACCATCTCAGCACCAGCTTTTTGTTTTTCAATATTATCCACGTTTTATAGAATCCTTTCCAAACTACATGAAATATAGGAGATGGTGCCAAGTTAGGAACAGCTAAGTCTTTATTAATGGCCCAAATGGTCATTTTTCTCAACGTTATTTAAGGTTCACAACAACTTCCATCCGTTAAGGACTATTGGTAAGTGGGTGAAGGCTTTAGGCTCCCAAGCTAAGTGACCCCAGGCCAATATGCTTTGAGTCTGATTTTTACCGCTTTTTTGGCACCTTTTGGTAAGATCGTGCCACCTCCTGCTGCTGTCTGCCTGCCTGGCTGCCTTTAGAACATCTTCCTCCTCCTCTCATCTTCCTATTTTTAAACTGCCATGGTTAAGGAAGTGCTGATAACCAAGTTTGTTAAGTGAGAGTAAATAGGTTCCTCAGAAAAAGGCATCAGCTTTCACACATGAATTGTGTGAGTATTTTTGCATGTTTGAGGAGAACTTTTCACTTGTCTGCAGGGTCTTGGCTATGTTCTGAACATGTTAGGATACTCAGAATACATGTAAGAGACATCTAGTTTATTCATCTACCATTGTTGAGCACCCACTATGTGGGAGACATTGAAAGGGTAAAACATTGCTTCTATCCTTTGGAGAAAAGATGTGTAAATGATGTAAATATGTAAATATTGCTTAATATGTTTGCCTATTGATTGAAACCAAGGTAATTTCAATATGTGGGCTAAACTGTAAGCTATTCTGGGGATTAACTGCTTTAGGTACACTTGTATTGGCATCTCTCCATCTCTGTTCTGTATTCAACTCCCACAGCCTCAGAAAACTTTTCAAACATCAATCATTCTCCCCCCTCTCCAAAGTTATTAACTTCTCTTACCTTCTTGTCTTTTTCCTTCATCATGTATATGTGCTCAAACTTTGCCTGTCTTAAAGAAAAAGAAACGCTTTCTCTGTCCCTCTAATTTCTGCTTCAGTTACTGCTCCTTCTCTGTATTTTCCTTCACAAATGTCTTGCGAATAGTCTGCACTCATCTCTCCTTCCTCAGCAGTTTCTCACTCCTCAAACCATGGCTATGTAGCTTCTGTCCCCAGCACATCACTGCACTGCTCTCAGCCATGAATGTCTTGTTTGATCTTAAATGCCACAGGCAGTGTTTGAGTACTCATGTTTGAGTACTAGAACATTCAGTGGCATTTGACAACACAGAGCACTTTTTACTCCTTTTAAGACTCCCCTGGCTTCATGACATGACCCCCCTTTTAACCCCTCTGACCACGCCTCAGTCCCCAGGATTCTGTTCTCAGCTCACCTCTCAGTAACACATTCTCCCTGGCCCATTTCAATCACTCCTTGTCTTCGCTTGCCATGTACATCAATACTCCCAAGTGTACCATTTCTAGCTCAGACCACTCACTTGGGTTCCATTTTCACAAAAGCCTACCAGACTTCGCTGGGGTCCTAGAGACACCTCAAGCTCTACATGTGTGAACTTTTTGTCCCTACTGTCCACCTACTTGCCTAATGCAGAAACTGGGGGCCATCCTTGATTCCTTCTCCTTTCCCCTACCCCACACCCAACAACCACTAAGTCCCATTGATTCTACCTCAAAACTAACTATAGAATCTGCCTCTCTTAGCCCCTCTCACCTACAATAATGCAGCAGCCTTTTATGTGGTCTCCCTTCTGCAGTCTTATCATTTCTAATCTATCTTTCAAACTATAGATAAGAGAAAACTTTCAAAAACCACCCCTGGTGTCACTGTTTAGCACTTCCCTTAATCTACCCCTGGCCTATCTCTCCACTTTATCTACTGCTGCTTCCTACACACAAACCATCCAAAGTCCTGGAATGTTCGACTTCCTGTTGTCTCCATACCTCTGTGTTTCTCTCTTGGTTTGGAATGTCATTTGAATACGAGCAGAAAATGTCTAGCATACATGTAACTGAAGTTCCACATGTTGAAGCTATAATCTGGAAATAAGAAAATGTAAACCTGTATAATGGAAGGGTCCAAATGTACCTGGGGAAATTGCCAGAGAATAATCAACTCTGAGAGCTCTACTGGTTAAAACTATTAGATAAAAAAATAACAATAATCTTCAATATCTCTAGACATAAAATTCAAATTATTTAAAAGGGTAAGAACCTATAATCCCAGCACTTTGAGAGGCCAAAGAGGGAAGATCACTTGAACCCAGGAGTTTGAGACCAGCCTGGGCAATATAGCAAGACCCCATCTGTACAAAAAAATAAAAATAAATGGGTAAGAAAATTGGGCTTCAGTACATTAAAGATGGCTGCAAATTTTGTATCACTGTCTTTGATCCAGGCTGGCCTTACTGAATTGCTTGAACAATAGAATGTGTAATGTCCTGGGATTTTCAAGACCAGGTCATAAGAAGTCTGGAAGCATGCACCTGGGTATTTGGGAACACTTGCTCTTAAAGTCCTGAGCCACTATATAAAATATCTAACTCCCTGTGGAAAGGTCCTGAGACTTCACAGAGAGGGACAGGACCTAGCTGATCCTAGCTGATGTGAGTGAAGTTATCATAAATGCACTACATTAGCCTAGACATTAGCTGAACACCACTCAATGACCTCAGTTGAAGCAATGTGGAACAGAAGAACCAGCCAGCCAAGCCCTACCCAAATTCTTCACCCCAGAGATTATGAGATTATAATCAAAATGGTTATGTGAAGCCATTCTTTTTATAGGGTAGTTTATTATGGAGTATGGTAACCAAGATATCTAGCATTAGACTTCTCAAGAGCAACATACAAAGCAAGGCAATAGTGATACAGCATTTTCAGTTTTTCTAGAAACTCAAGGAAAGAAGATGCAAGCTAAGGATTTTATATCCATCCCATCTATGCTGTTTTTCAAGTATCAAGGCTATAAAAGGCCGGGCGCGGTGGCTCAAGCCTGTAATCCTAGCACTCTGGGAGGCCGAGGCGGGCGGATTGCTCAAGGTCAGGAGTTCAAAACCAGCCTGAGCGAGACCTCGTCTCTACCATAAAAATAGAAAGAAATTAATTGGCCAACTAATATATATATATATATATCAGCCGGGCATGGTGGCTTGTGCCTGTAGTCCCAGCTACTCGGGAGGCTGAGGCAGGAGGATCGCTTGAGCCCAGGAGTTTGAGGTTGCTGTGAGCTAGGCTGACTCCACGGCACTCACTCTAGCCTAACTCTGTCAAAAAAAAAAAAAAAAAAAAAACTTTACAAAATGCAAGAACTCAAGGAATACTATACATGTAAGCCCATATAAGTATGTACTAGAGCAAGGGTCAGCAAATTTTTCTAAAGCATCAGATAGTAAATGTTTTGGGTATGGTGGCCTAATTAACCCACCCCACTATTGTAGCACAAAAGCAACCATAGATAATATGGTTCCAATAAAATCATATGTAAGGAAACAGCCATCAGGCCCGATTTGGCCCATGGGCTATAGCTTGCCACCTCTATGCTAGAAGAAAATAAATAGAGAAAGTTATTAAGGAAATACCTAACAAAAAAGCACGAGGCCCATATGATTTAGGAAAATAGTATAGAATGACCAAACGGGGTTTATGTATCAGTCCTCCAGAGCTACCATAACAAAGTACACAGACTGGTGTATAGGCTTAAAGAACAGAAGTTTGTTTCCTCATAGTTCAAGAAGCTGTAAGTCCAAGACCAAGGTGTTGGCAGAACTGAGTTTTCTGAGGTCTCTTTCTGTGGTTTGCAGAATGTCATCTTCTCCGTGTCTTCGCAGGGCCTTCTCTCTATTCCGAGTATTTCAGTGCCCTAATAACCTCTTCTTATAAGGACACCAGTCATATTGGACGAGGGCCCACCTCTACCTCATTTTAATTTAATTACCTCTTTAAGACCCTATCTCCAAATACAGTCATATTATGAGGTACCAGGGATTTTAGGATTTCAGTAACCTAAAACTGTAGAACTCTTTCTTAGAAGAAAACGTAGGTGTGAATCTTTATTACCTTGAGACTGGCAAAGCCTTCTTAGATACAACACCAAAAACATAAATGACAAAGGAATAAATAAGTAAATTGAACTTTATCAAAATGTAAAGCTTTTATGCATCAAAGGACACCATCAAGAAAGTAGAAAGACAGCCTATAGAATGGGCACAAATGTTTCCAAATAATATTTATAATAAGGGACTTATATCCAGAATATATAAGGAATAATTACTGCACGATTTTAAAACAAATAACCTAATTAAAAACTGGGCAAAGTATTTGATCAGATATTTCTCCAAAGAATATATACCGTTGGTCAATAAACATGCATAAAGATGCTCAACTTGATTAACTATTAGGGATATGCAAATCAAAAGCACCATGAGATACCACTTCACCCCTACCAGATGGCTATAATTGAAACCACACACAATGACAAGTATTGGTGAGGACATGGAGAAATTGGAATGTTCATACATTGTTTTGGTGGGAATATAAAGTGGCACAATTGTTAAAAAAAACAGTTTGGCGGTTCCTCAAGATGTTAAACATGGAATTATTATATGACCCAGCAATTCCACTTCTAGTTATATATCCAAGAGAATTAAAAACATACGCCCACCAAAAAAACTATACACAAATGTTCATAGCAACCTTATTCATAATAGCTAAAAACGGAAAACAACTCAAAACTTCAACAACAGATGAATGGATAAACAAAATGTAAATCCCCCCATACAATGGAATATTACTGGGCAATAAAAGGAATGGAATTGAGATGTATGTTATAACACAGATGAACCCTAAAAACATTATGCTAAGTGAAATACACCAGTCACAGAGGACCACATATTACATGATTATATATATGAAATGTCCAGAATAGGTAAATTATACAGACAGGCAGTAGATTAGTGGATGTCAGGGGCTGGAAGGGTCAGAGGGAATGGGGAGTGACTGCTAATGGGTATGGGGTTACTTTGGGAGATAATGAAAATATTATAAAGTTGATTGTAGTGATTACTGCACAACTCTGAATATACTAAGAACCATGGAATTGTACAATTTAAATAAGTGAATTATGAGGCATATGAGGCTGGGTGCGGTGGCTCACACCTATAATCCTAGCACTCTGGGAGGCCAAGGTGGGCAAATTGCTTGAGGCCAGGCGTTCAAGACCAGCCTGAGCAAGAGCAAGACTCCATCTCTACAAAAAATACAAAAATTAGCTGGGCATGGTGGTGCGAGCCTGTAGTTCCAGCTACTCGAGAGGTTGACGTAGGAGGATTGCTTAAACCCAGGAATTTGAGATTGCAGTGAGATGATGTTGCCATGCCACTCCAGCCTGGGCGACAGAGTGAGACCCCATCCCTACAAAGAAAGAAGGAAGGAAAGATTCAATCCAGAAATTAACCTACTACTTATGAAAATCTAGTAGGTGATAAACAGTCAAATGGCTGAGGCAAAGATGGGTTTTTTTAATAAATGATGTTGGGGCAACTGGATACCCACACTCTGTTGTTGAGGTTATGGAAAAACACATATTGCTGTATGAAACAAAAAATTGTATAGCCCTTATGGAGAAGCATTTGGCAAGATCTAATGAAATAATTTGTACATTTACATTTCAACTTAGCACTCCCA